TATAGTGCCTGAGTGAACGTTGATGCATGTATTCCAGCCTCGTTTGCAGAATCTGAACGCTGCATGGAAGTAGCTCATAGCTCTATGGAGCGCTGTGATACGGTGTTTCCACAAGCGGATGGCCCCTTACCGGGTTTCATCGGCCTTCTATGTGTGACGTCACGCGAGAGCACCATGGCCTGAATATAGGTGGTGTTGTTCGAACCCAATTCAGAATTACTTTTGTTAGTCAAGCACATGCATATTATACTGAGTATATACAACCGAGTACAGTATCCGTTCACTATTTGGTGATTGTTGAACTTTTTCTCATTAACATATGAATGGCGGACAAATTGCTTTTGTTTTACTTCCTCTTAACATGCTGGTCTGAGAGTATTAATGTAGGGCAGAGATGTGCTGAAGAAGACGTGAAATACTGATGTTAGCAGGTATCTAAATTTTCAAGGAAGTGAATTAATTCGATATTTGTTCCAGCGGATAACAATGTTTGCGGGTAGCAATGAAGACCCAATACTCTCCTGTCCCTACAACAAGTCACATCAGATTCTAGCATCCAGAATGCAGTATCATCTAGCAAAATGCCGAAAGAATCATCCATCGACAAATATCATTATTTGTCCATTGAATGCAGCTCACCACGTTCCAGAGCCTGAGATAAACTATCATATAACTGTGTGCAGTAGCAGACGCATTGTGGAAGAAATAAAATTTCAACCACAGGAAATAGATTCTTCAAAGAAAATAATATTCAATTCAAACAATCTTCGATTACCGGACAATGAAGAGAACTGGGACTTCGATTCGAAAAATGCGTCGTATTTGCAACTCAGAAAGATTGAAGATAAATGTATTTTCAGGTGCTTGCAAGGAGCTACAAAGTCAGAACGTAAGACTTTCAGAATGTCAGAGAGACGTAGACTGCAGAATCTGAGACAAAATAGAGGATAAACCACATCTGGATAATATTCAACAGTAAATCGTCATAATGAATGGATACGTGAAATGAAAGTAAAGTACTCTGCTTTTATTCGTAAAACGGACTAACAATGAAGCGAAGGTGCGTGTTTTAAAGTGAACACGCTACAAAACCCAATACGTTTTCAAGAGTCTGCCGTTGATGAAGCTGAAATAAAACTGGTGAAAATTTCAAATGTACTCTATAGAACTGAACCTCAAAATTTCTTTATCGAAGCTATTAGGGATTAATTTACAAATTTGTTTACAAATAGTGTATCAAACACATGTGAATTAAAATATTTTTGTACAAAACGTAGTCCGTTCCTGTTCATGGAATCATGAATAAAGAAACGTAAAAGAAAATTTTAGTATTTTTATCCAATTGAAAAGCTCTAATGGTAACTTTAAAGGTATATTTTCAAAGCAAAGCGCGTGTGAAACTTAAAAAGTATACGTGGACATATATAGTGATTTGTCTTAGAGTGGCATAATTTTAATGGAAGTAATCATACGGAAAAAGGAAGAAATTCGGTTCATAACGTTTACTGAAATGTTAACAACGGCTTTTATTGCCATACAATTCAGTTACAATTTATTTTCACGATTAAAAATTTACTCTGATAAAGCTAATTCTGATCAAATAATTGCTCAGAGCTTGTTAGGAAATGTAGTGTGTTTGACCGAATCGAAGATTTGATCCGTTTTCTATTTCGTTAAGTACTAATTTAAAATACATGGATCAGGTTTTCGTTTTTATATTATGAAAACATATTTAATAATTTCCCGACTAACAAAAAATATAGTATTTTAGAATCTGAAAACGAAATTGAATTTGTGAGACATTCTTAACCCATAAACGCCCAGTATCCTCATTTGAGGACGCATATTTCTGGTCAACTCATATTTGCTTCCATGAGTTGTCAAATTTATTTAACATTAAAATATTAAACTTTTATCAGACGAAAACCTGTGGCGCATTCAATTTAAAAACTTATTTTGAAATTGATTTATATTTTATTTTAGATCTAAAATAAAGTAATGGTAAGTAATCTGCAAATATATTTATATTCCATTTTCTAAATAAAAAAGGCCCAACAATTTCCCTGAATTTGTACATCAGTTCCGTGTATCGTTTTGTTTTTGTCTTGAAGTTGGATAAGAGTATCATGTAAGTTACGTACACCGGGTTTAAAACGTGTGTGTTCTTAAATGACTATTTACTGTTGTGTATTGTTCGCTAGGTATGTAATAGGACTTGTGAAGCTGTGCTGGGGTAGTATTGTCTGGATTGAATTTAGAGAGTTTTGTTGAATCCAGATAGTGACTATAATTACTGGTTATCCACATGATTAAATGAAAAATGAATAACAAGACGACGGATGTTTAGGAAATTACTATTATTCGAGACTGTCTGAAAAGTAACTCATTGTTTTACGGCAAAAGAACATGTTCACCACAGAACGATTCTCATAAAAGTTCTATAATTAATTTTCCCTGACTCCATTGATACAACTTATCACCATTAAACTAAAAAGCGAGCAGCTTTGCATAATATTAAAAGTTCGTGTTGCTTAATCCGTTATAGATCTCGTTTGTCAACTGATACAGCGCATTTATTTTGTGACGCAAGCCACGTCATCTAGCTAAGAAACCAACTATACCTAATACCAGCAAGCCACGTAGTAAAGGTCCCATGTCAAAATACTATATTGAGTTAGCTTTCAATACATTCTAAACATGCTCTTATCAATTGGTATTTTATTTGGAACTATTTACATTAATTGTAATTGAACAATCTATAAAATATGTGTTCTACGATACTTTTCATCCCCTCATTTTGGGAAAGAATGGGAGAAGCGCGTTTTCTGTGACACATTACCCCTCGCATCTCGTCGCATTTTTGTCGTAAATGGAATATGTTCTAAAATATCAGATCTGTAAAAGTGGTCGTGTATAACTTTTTTTTAAAGAGTGGTTTTTGCAAAATTTCTGCATGAAATTAACGCAAATTCTAAAAATAAATCTCAAAAACTGCTACAATATTTTTCTTCGATTTCTTTTCTAAGGATAAAGCAAGAGACGCTTAAAATAATTGTTGATGTTTCGTTTTCGTTAAACTCTCATAATGTTTGAAAATTGCAAATTTTGAATTTTTTATATCATGTGAGAAAGTATATGCTGTTGTAACACCACTAATTGCAACATTTGTGTAATGAATGGCCATTAAAATATTGTGCAATGTTTTAAATTATATATAAATTAAATATAAGGGAAAAGACCCTATTGTGCAGCATTAAAGTATCAGCTTGCATTTAATGAAAAGCAAAAAGGTAGCTACTGCGATTCAGCCTTTTGTCCGAAATGTCCAACAATTGTAGAAAAGAATTCTATGAGGATATATCAGAACAATGATGAAAGCAAACATTTCATGAAGGTAACTATATTGTTTACTTCATACTTTCTACACAAGTATGTAAATACGGATTAGAAAAAATACAGTGCCTTTTTAACCTCCCTATTTTACCTTTTTAAATGCAAATTTAAATGTATAAATGTCTATTTTGCCTACCTATTTCTACAGATTTTCGTGCCTATAAATCCGCAGCTTAGTAATTACAGATTTTTATCAAATGTCGCAGGTTACACCCAGCTCAGGTTGCTATACGATTTTATTCGTTTTAATGACTACCCAAAAATGTTTTTGCTTGAAAGTTTCGTGACAAGTTAAAATTGAAAGTTACTGAAAAATGTTGGGACGAAATTTTCCCAATTTCCCTCTCCACGTGATTTAATGGTTTAACGATTAGAATTTAAAAATTTTGGAATCTTATTATGTGATCTTACGCACCACTACTGGCCTCTGGAGGTCAGTATGTATTAGGAAACAATTGCTACAAATGATGATTGGGGTGCGTTAGGTGGCTCAGGACATTGCAGTGCCTCTGACCGGGAGCTCATAGTCTCTCCACTGTGTGGAGGTGAATTCTAGCGGCCGATTGCTTAGATCGGTAGTTTTTCGTGCTTTCGTCGTTCAACACCTGGCAAATTCCGAGCAGTACCCTTACAAACGGGCCTCGGACCGCGCGCGATCTTTCCTTTCGCTTCCTTGTCCTATCCTCATCCCTTGCTTACACACACACACACACACACACACACACACACACACACACACTTACATGTACTTCACTACCACATAAATTTATGTTGGGAGACCAGAGGCTGGGGCAGTGCCCTCCTGCGGGGAGAAAAATATCGAAAGCCGACGTGTAGGTCGACGCCAGTTCTGACAATCCAGCGGGAGATCACTGTCACTTCCCGCCAGAGAAAAAAATCATGCACTACGCTTTGGGGTCTGATGATTAACCGCGACTATAATATACTTGACGCGCCCAAAACACTAATCAATCAATTAACATCAATTTTCGACTGCAATTTATAACTTTCTCTACATTCCCTTTATACTTTCGTATTCGAGAGAGTGAAGTCTCCAACCAGTCGGTCTTGGATGAGCATTGGGTCCAGATACGCAATGCAACCAAAACACTCTCGTTTTATGGGGCAAGTCGGTAATTCAAATTTCGCCCTTGGCGATGAATCACATATTGTTGGCTTTTTCGATACGTTACAATATATCTTTACAAAAATCTTATGATGATCAAAAGTGTGCTCGCCTCCGAATATGTCACGTAAATCTAAATGAAAAATGTCCGTAAGAGGTGACAGCTATAGTGATTAGTAAAACTGAAAATGTTTTAAAGATTGATTTTTAATCTAGACTAGAAAGAGATGTAATAAATTTTAAAAAATAAGCTTTCAAAAATGTAATTAACTCTAATAAAGCATTAGGTCAAAATTAGCCAAATAAATCTTGGTCAGCAAGTTTCATTTTCTAATACACGAAAATCCTTTAATTCCATTAGAATAAAATATACTTTTTCACACACATTGTGGACGTCAAATGTATTTTAGCTTCACAATAGTACATATTAAGGGAATGTACCCAGCCATCACAAATAGCTATTACCAACCTACTCTTTATCACACTACCCGACCTTCGAGACAAACAGCGTTGACTTGGATTAGGGGAATGTGTCGGGACAGCAAATTGGTTTGTTTTCTTTTGGCGAAGAACCCGCCTTTGAATGCTGATCTAACGTGGCATTCTTTTGTTTTTATGAACTGTCAAGTCGTTTGTGATTGCGTGTGTCCAGTTTGAAGTGACTTGATAGTTCCGAATATACAGAATTAGCGAAATTGTGTGAAATTGTTTTATAGGGTCTGTCTGTTATTTGTTATCAGTTTGGTTATGTATTCTATTGTCCACTAAAACAAGCACAGAAGCCAACTTGCCTCAAAAAATAAGCTAATTACATACAATTACTAACGACAGATATATATTTTTATAATGTCCACCGAGGAAGATCTGGAGTTGAGAGACTTAGTCACACAGACTCTGGAGAGCAATGGTGTATTGTCGAAAATAAGGGTAAAATAATTGTAGAACAGTATAAAAATGTAAGTAGTTCTGTTTACTTCTTATTGCATTTTAACATTTTTTTGTTTAGGCTGAATTACGGGCTAGTGTTTTCTTAGCATTGGAAGAACAAGATTTACTGCAGGTAAGCAACACAATATTTATTTAAATACTTTTGCTGATAATATTTTTGTAACTACAACTTATTTTCAGACTGAGAATTCTTATGCAAATAAAACATTCAAGAATTTTATTAAAACTACTGAAGGAATGCTCCTAACACAGTTAGTGCGAGAATTTCTTGAATTCTTCGAGCTGGATTTCACCTTGTCAGTCTTTGATCCTGAAACCAGTTACGGGAAAGATTATGAATACGTTGGAAGAAATACATTGCTGAAGGAGTTGAAAATGAAAAATGTGAATGGTTAGTTGTTAGTTACTTAATTATACATGTCTTCTGTATTACTTTTGATTCGAGAATTTCAAATTTCAGTTACCATTACTTAAGCAGTAAATGGTAGGTTTGTGCATGGTTATTATCATAAGAAGCAATTATTGAAGTGGATTAGCTTTCTGTACTTAGTAATGTCATAAAGGCTTTCTACTGCATTCTTAATTATTTTATCATGATTTATTAAAATATGTTATGCACATATGCAGAAAACTTAAATAAGTCATTTGAATGATGCACTTTATTATTTTTGATATTGAGCGTATTATTTGCCAACTTTACCTGCTTGTTAAATATAATAATTTGATTTTACCCTTGTTATACATTTGTTTTCAATCCCCAAATTTAAGAATTCATGCATTTTGGATCTTTTATTCACACACACTATTTCAGATAAATTCAAATTCATTTATTCGGATAAATTCATTTTTCCTACATTCCCAAACAAGTTTTGAAACACAAGTGTTGTAATAGTATATTTACCGAGAACAAATGCTGAAGGTTCATTATCTGTTATATATTAGGTTATTATTTACTCATATAAATTTAGGTTCATTGTGATTTTGGAGTGTAGGTTATATGGATTAATATCCATCTATCAATTCTATGAGATTAGGATACAAGAACCTCTTGGATGAAATCTAGAAAACCATATTAATCCAGAAATGAAGATGTATTATTAAAGTTGCTCTCTGCATTTAGATTTTTCAAATTACATTAGAATATGATATCTTCTACAGCATCTTGAATTTGAAATATTGAAATCGAAGTATAAGGTTCTGCAAAAGTACGAAGAATGATGCATGGGATTTCTCAGGTCTCAACTCTGGAATCATTGTTATTCCTATTTTTACTAATGATAAGCTACAAGCTGTAGGTAATCGTATTCTACAGTTAAGAGAATTCTGCAGTTAAGTACAAATGAGAGCTCTGCCAATGCACTGCCTTTTGTATGTAATACTGCATATTTGCATATTGCTATCCCCTGACTTTTGTCACGTCTGTGTACACAATGTTAAAATGCTTTATGCTTGAAAATTTTCACAAAAATTCTACAGAGATTGTGTACACACATTACTCTTTGCAAACATTCACTCAATTCTCAAATACACTATTTGACTCAGCAGGTATGCACGAGAAACAGAGGGTATTCAAAATCCAAATGGGAATTGTAAGAACATTAGCAAAAATTGATAGACTTGAACCATTCAGACCATTCTTTCTTACGTAAACTCCGCCGCAGAAGCGTACGCAACCAAGGAAGAAAGAAGTTTCTGTACAGGTGCCATTTCAAATCAGCCAACTTTTGCTCCAGAACCCCTTTTTTCCACACTCAACAGCAGAAATTTTGCTGCTGCAGACCACAAACTAATACATATGTAATACATATAATCTCACAAATGAAATTATAAACATATTTCCAATGTAGATATAAGTATGAGAATGTGAATGTATGTAAATAATTGTAATCATCTAATAGTAATATGTTGAATATTTATATGTGATTTGCTATAAAATAATGTAATGATAGAGCAAATTGACCTGCAATACTTTGTTCAAATTATTTTTTTTTTAGAAATAATTATTATTATTATTATTAATGTTAAAACTTTATTGTAATTTGTATGTAATTAAATGACTCAATATTTAGGAATATATATATCTGTTTCAGGAAGTAGTGGGCCTTTACTTGCTCAAATTTTAAAAATTGCTGGCAGTCAGAATGAACCTGATAAAGATTCATCCAAAGAGGTACGTAGTAAATTATTCTTAAGATATTTTGATGAATTACTATATAATGTAAAATGTGTTATCTGAAACCCTTTTCGTGTTTAATCATTTGTGCTTTTTCTCATCTATCTACAACATAATATCCTGCACAAGTGTGTTGTGAACTTTGAGTCACTGGAACAAGATATATTTTCTTTCCTGCATTTTATTAGTTTCAGTTAAAGGCTGCATTTAAAAAAGATATTTTGGGTAGATCATGCTGGACACTGAATTACTTGGTGCTTTTGAAACAAAATATGCCAGTACAATTTGATAGTTACAGTAAGTTTGGGATGAGATTGTTAAACCTGGAAATCAAATTGGTAAAATGCAGAATACGAAGTAGCCTTCTGTATGCGCAGATAATACTGTAATTTGAGAAAATTCATGGCCAAAAAGTTGACATTGCAGTTAGCTAAAAGTAAAGTACAAATAAAGATGGCTTTTATGAAAATTCTTTTAAAGCTGTTGTTTATGAGTTATCAGTTTTTTGGAGAAGGGTGTCAATCACACTATATTTATTGGCACTTTTGGGAGCGTCTTTAAAATTTAGGTTAAATTTTTTTTGAAAATTCAAAGCAAATTTTTACATTCTCACACTTATTAATGGAAGAAGAGAAAATATTGTAAAAATGCACCGGAAAACGGCGAATTTTCGACACAAAAACTCATATAGCTAGGCCCTAGTAAGGAAAAAATTGATAAATCCAGCTGCTAAATATATAAAAACAAAATTCTTCTAACATGTGGCATATCCAGAATCCATATTTTGTGGGTCCTTGATACTGAAAAATCGATTAATGGCAAAACGTATGTCTGTCTGTCTGTGCACAACACTAGCAGATTAAAACATTCTGCTGATTTTCTCCGAAATTGGTATTTCGTAGTTGATGTCGTGAACCCCAAAATTTGAAACCAAAATTTTAATTTTGGGGAGTACATTACATGAAGCTCCTGGGACATTTTCCAAATTTCCAAAATATTTATGTTGTATATTAATCTGCATGATTGTGCATGTTATTAATAATATTTTTTTATTGTTTATTAATTTGTTCTGAGAATAGACAAGTCAAACCAAGAGATTTCAGAGAATTAGGAATTTTGGATATAGATATGGGTTTCGGAATTTCTTCCTCACCACTAACACTAAACATTGATGCCTTACATGGGTTTAAAACCCTTTGTCTTAGTGTCCTGTACTTGGACTTACCTACCCAAAGCCCATGGCCAAAACATTTGACCTCTCTTTGTTTCTAAGCTGTCTCTCTCTGTCTCTCTACTGTTTGTAAACTTGGTATGATTATGTAATATTTAAGTATAATTCCATAATAATAATTTTAATAAACTAATAATTTAACTAAAACTAACCTTTTTATACATATGTGTCCTTTAATGTTGTCTACGGCATTAAATATTAGTAGTTGAATTACTTTTACACCATTTATTTCCATAGCATTATTGCAAACTAAGTTACTTAAGCACTAAAATCTATCATCATTGCACCAGGAGAGGTGGCTCAGGGCATCAACTGATGTTGCTGTAGTGCCTCTGACCGGGAGGTGTTAGGTTTGAGTCTCGAAAGTGGCAGGATTTTCAACACTAGTTTGTCTGCTAGGACAAGTTCAGTTGCTGTCTGGAGAAGAATTCTAGTGTCCAGCTGTTCAGATCGGTAGTTTTCTGTGGTTTCTCCTATCAACACCAGGCAAATGCTGAAGCAGTACTCTAACAAACAGGCCACGGACCATGCCTGATCTTTCCTTCCTCTTCCTTGACCTGTCGTCATCCCTAACACACTCTTACATTAACGTGTACTACACTACCACATGTGCCAGGAGAAACTTCAGGAGGATCTTTGTTTTCTTCAGACTTTGTTAGCCTCTTTCATCTCCGTTACTCACTGTTAACTATCCTGGTGCCCATTTCTGAAGTGCATTGCATTTTATTTAATACAATGATAAATAACATCTTTTCAAAAATAGAGTCACATTTTTGTTGGTAATATGTTTCCATGTGGTTGTACATTATTTTTGTTTTAGGACATGGATAAAACTATAACAAATTCAGATGATGATGATGATAAAATCATACATAAGAAGAATGTTAAAAATTCTCAAAGTAATATTCATTTTGAAGATTCCAGTAAAATATCTACTGATCAATCTATTTGTGTAAATAAAGTCTCGGACACATCTGAGAAAATATTTACCCAAAATAATTCTGAAGACACTCTCCACCTTGGTGCTACAGCCACTACCACTGCTGTAGCCACTACTGCAGCAGCTTCCACAGAGGAAGAAAATGGTTCAAAACCAAGAAAAGAAGTGAAAGAGTAAGTTCGGTGTATAGTCTCAGATGCATTGAAATTAATGATTGCTTGCTTCTATTCGTCAAGACATAATAATGTGATTGTTCAGTTGTGGTAACACAAACAAATACTGTTTAAGGTTTATAAGAATACTTGTAAATGATAAATTATCATTTTTCGAGTTAGGAGAAGGGCACTTCTCTCAATTCTGGAATTTTCTTTGGAATTGAGAGTTGAAGTCTTTTTGAAAAACAACAACAGTTGTGTGTATTAAAATACTGTTCCTTTTATTTGAAAACAAGATAGTGACTTTTCTTAAACTGCACTTAATTATTAAATAAGTGACATGTTTTTGAAATGATTGAAAGGACATCATGGTTGGGTAGATTTACTATTAGAGTTGTACATTCTCAAAACACCAACTGAATTAATTATCATTATTTACTGTTTTCCGCTCATAATGATCCTTTTGTTTTATTTAGAGAA